CCCCCCCATGTTAATGTCAGCACTTACCTTAAATGATGTGTCTTAATCCGATCTTCTTCTTCTTTCCCAATGTTTTTATCTGTCCCTCCAGTGGTGCGGCGGCTCTCCAATCCAGCGCTGACTCCTCTCTGCTAGCAGGCACTTCTGATCCAGTGGTGTCTGCATGCGGGTGCATGCGTCCATAGACTTACCTTACGTCTCTGCTCGTCTCCCGGCCAAGAATCCAAACTGCGCATGCGCCCCCGCCCCAAGAGCCTTAGCGGCCGCACAAGCAGTTCCGGATTCTCGTTTTCATGAGCGCGCAGCGGTAATGAGGTAAGTTTAAACCGCTGTTAAAGCATTTTTTTAAAAACTTTTTGAATAATATCTACTGCTTGCTAGCAGTAGATATAGGCAAAAAAAACGGAGGCTTTAGAACCCCTTTAACCAGTTGACATCCGCGGTGTTAATGGCTCAATAGATCGGGAAGTGAGCGAACACTAGACATGTGCGATTCGTTTCGTTCCGAATCGAAATTCGGACGAATTTTCGTAAATTCGGACATTCGGATGTATCCGAATTCCGAATTACAGACATAACGAATGCAAACGAATACGAATTTCCATTTCCGAAATTCGGTAGCGTTCGTACGAACGTTCGTTTCGTTTTCGTTTCTTATTCGTTTCGTTCGTTGGAGCAAAGTGACATTAGAGAAGGAGAAAAATATTTTTCCCCCTATGTGATAGCATTTAGCTGGTGACAGGTTATTTTTAAGGAGACATTAGGGGCCTATTAGACCTCTAATGTCATGTTTGCTGTTCATTGAAGTTGATTAAGCACAGATCAAGCTTGATTGTGCTTGCTCAGCTTCTTCCTCAGAGTCTGTGGCTGGGGAATGACAGCCCAGAACCTGGAAGTGACCAAATTAACATAACTTCTGGCTTCACCCAGCAGGGAGATCATCAGAGAATGGATGTTCACTGGTCTCCCTCCCCTCTTTCAGCTGCTGCTATGTCAGTCCCGGGCACACAGGTGGGGCCGAATCACTTCCAATGTTTACACATTTAAACAGAAGCCGGGAGTCTGCTTACAGGGCCCTGCTGCTGCTGGCGTATGGCATACATCAGCGGCAGCAAAAGGGTTAGTACTCTTATGTGACCAATTGGATAGACACAATGCAAAAAAAACACAAAAAAACGTTTACACAATGTAACAATTTGCATTTAAAAAAAAGGTTTTAGTTGCATAACATTTGATATATGTAGAAGTGTAGTGCGCCCTTGATCTATCGAAAATGTTCCAACTCGTTGAGATCTCCAACGACCTGACTTCCGGTTTAGTTAGAAGTAAGCGCAAGAGGTAGCCATATTGAATGGGGCAACGCAGATTCCTGGATTAGTCTGACCCTAGTTCATTTTAATACTTTATTGTTGTGTACTACGTGTATAGGGAAATGGCGCGGGTGGCGCACGTGCAGTACAGCCTTCTTGGCCAAACCTCTTACTTCTAACTAAACCGGAATTCAGGTCGTTGGAGATCTTGATGAGTTGGAGTTTTTCGATAGATCACCCTAAGGCCTGGTTCACACCTGGGTGTTTTACAGCGCGTTCCTACGCGCTGTAAAACGCTCAACATGTGAAAACCAATAATTGCCTATGGGCATGGTTCCCACCTGGGCGTTTTACAGCACGTAGGAACACGCTGTAAAACGCCCTACGCCCAAAAAAGTACAGGAGCTTCTTTGGGGCGTATTTGGATACAACCGGATAGCCCTCGGAAACGTGCGTTTGTCGCGCGTTTCTTTTACCGCAAATCGTGGTAAAAACGTGCGGCAAACACGCATATTCCGTACGCCCAGGTGTGAGCCCAGCCTAATTCTAATCTATGAGAGCTGAACAAGACAAATCACTCGATTCTCCCATCCATGCTGTTGCGCAGGTGGAGGAAACTCCCCCGCTGCTTGGCCATAATCCGAGTTGTGTATGGCCAACTCCAGTATCTTTCATGGGTAGGCAGGCAACCCAGTAAAGTGGCAAAGAGAAAACCAGCATTTGTTGGCTTTAAAAGGGACTGGTGGTATCATTTAATAGCCTAAAGACATTTACATTATTGTCCAACTCGGCCAACAGCCAGATTGAGGGACAGTTAACCAATGTCACAAGTGTGAATGTTAATGAGAGATCCCCTTTGGAGCAGGTTAGAATAGCTGGGGAAACGTATTCGGCAATGGGTCCAACCTGAGCCAAGCTGAACTCCAGGCAGATTAGATAAGACACAAATTAATGCAACTCTGTGTTCATTAATACACTGTATTGTTTAAATTTCTAGGTGCATAGAGTGTACGTATCTGAATTTGGTACCAGCCTCTTCCAGTCCCTGTACACCAACATTCAGACTGGGAGAAGGAGAAGCAGCACAAGGAGTCAGTCAGGAGTGCTTCAATGCTCATGTGCTAACAAGGAACATGGTGGTAGGAGGAGATAACAGAGTGACAGAGAGATGAGCTCATCAGTCTGCTGCTTCTCCTTTTACTGTCCAGTCACAGATTGGGGGAGGGACAAGACCTGCAATAGTTACTTAACTGCAGCAGAGAAAAGTTGGATCTCCTCCCCTGCCAGACAGGGCTGTGCTGTGTGGTAGAGCTCTGTAAATCTTAGGACTGGATGGCCTAAAACACAAATTCCTTTTGGCAGGTAAAACAGCTCCCATATACATAAATTTCAGCTGTGTATTTGCCTGGATGTCAGCTTCGAATGGTCTGTCTCGTTGTCCTCTTTATTTTATGGGTGACCAGAAATCTCAATGATCTCTCATTTGTATTTATAAATAGTGTTAGTTTGAAAGTCATTTAAACATTTTCAAACTCCATACTTTTTATTGGAAAGATGGCTCTGCATCACAAAAATGCTTTAAAAACAGAAATCAAATTAAAGTTAATTGTCGCTGTGTGTTATTTGTTAAACTGGTAATTGCTGTACCTATATTGTCATTATTCAGGTAGTTTTCAGCAGCATTAATTTCTCCATGGATTAATTATATGAATGTGCAGTAATAGATAGAAACAAGGGATTTCTTTTTTACGATTATTATTCAAATCCTTATTGGGTTTACAACGTCTGACTATGTCAGGCAAAGGCATGAGGACTTCCAAAATTCTAAAATGTTATTTTGAACTATAATAGATCCCAATAAATATACATACATTAAATGACCACAATGGCCTAAATAAGTAATAATAATATTAGTTATTATTACTATTAGTGACAACTGAGTGAGTTTAAATTTAAAATTGAATATTATAATAATAACAATAATAAGAATCATTAATATTATTATATTATAATAATTATTAATATTACTGTATTCTTATTATTGTTCTTCTTCTTATTATTAATAACAACAACTGAGTGAGTTTAAATTTTGTGTAAAATTATCCTCATTCTCATACCATAAGGGTAAGGTGTTCTGTAGTCTAGCAAGGTAGAGCTCAGGCAGGGCTGACAGCGCTCTTTAGGATTTCATTGTATCAGATGCAGAGTTGCCAGCTGCCACAAATCCAGAAGCTCGCTGGATTTGTGGCAGAATCAACAGGGACAAAACATGAGTAAAAGTGAATTTATTGCAGAAATTTAAATATGTTTTTGTTTTGTTATGTTGCCCAGACAAATATATTTATGGCCTCTACAGGCATCATAGAACATTTCTTTTGATTCAGCTGTTTACAGTACGATCGGGTAACTTTATTATGTCTTGGCACTAATGCCTAATGGTACAGCAGAAAGGGGGTTCAGGGAGGATTCATTGACTTGATGGATTTTTACAGCCAATGGCTATTTATTACCCAATGGCAGCACCTGAAGTGCTCATCCTTCCTCTCATAGGTACAAACCTGCAAATTCAATGCATTTTTTAACTACATACTGGCAGCTCTTCTTATCTCATTGCTGATTATAAACAACATAATCTCTGCAGTAATCATTGGTATACAGCAGGGATAGCGAATTAAAATATAAGGAGGTCCAGGAAGTCACATTTTCATTGAGCCAAGGTCTAAATCGCAGTCCGGGCAGCACGGTCATTCAGTCCGTACCGCGGCCCACCATTTAGTCTGGATTCATGCTAGCAGCTGCACTACAACGCACAGCTGCTGGTATGTGTGCACAGGCACAGTACTAATGCATCAATCCAGGAACGTCACACTGTTTAATTTATTTTTTATGCTAGAACTCCCCCCTCCCCGTTTACATACACATGCATGCCTTACGTGCACATATTTATTCGATTCAGATGGTGGGGGCGGCAGGGTTGGTTTTCAGATTTTTTTATGTTTAATTTATTTTATTATTTTTGACTTTTGTACTTATCACCTTTTTTTTAAACATTTATTTAACTTAACGTTTGCTATCACAAAGCTCCTATGTGGAGGTGACAGGTTTTCTTAATAGAGACATCTGGGATCTATTAGAACCCTGATGTTTCCACTGTACCTCCAACATAGAGATGAAGCACAGGAATGTGCTTCGCCTTCTGTTTACCTGGAACTTCATCCGACTTCTGACTGCTGAAGCATTGAGGGCAGTGCTTCCTGCTTCAGTGATCACAGAGCGGATTCGGGAATGTTCCACGGTCTGCTCCCGATCTCCATCCTGACACTGTGCCATGGTCTTGGGGCCCCCAGAGGAGCGGTGGACCTAAAAACTTCAGCGGGGGGGGGCACCATAACAACCTAATACAAGTGATCTGGGTATATGTACAGCTGCCCAGATCACTTGTAATTGAAGAGCCGACCCTGTCTGCCTGACATAATTTCAGCGGTCCTAGCAAGCAATGACTGAAGCAGAGGGGAGGAGACCTGCACTGGGTTATGGCTGGCAGTGGAAACACTGGCCTTGGACATAACCTAGCGCAGGTAGGCGACTGCAGTCCACACAGAACCACAACATGTTCCATATCCGGCCCTCGGTCTGCCATTTAGTGACCCCAGATATACAGAAATCATGTGATCTTTGCTGCCTTGGCTGGGAATTAGGGATCTGCTGTTTCGAATTCATGGCAAGAAAGAGGGACTTTGTCACTCAAATACAAAATATATGTACTGTATAATAACAAAATGTCAAGTTATAAAAATCATTTGGTAGTGTTGGCCTGATTGATTTTGATATTGGTAATAAGTCCAATTTAGCTTTAAAAAAATACATAATAAAAATGAAGGAAAATATCGAATTTGATTTATTTCATAGGACAGAAATCAACAAACAAGCTTTAACATTTGAATATTACTTCTACATATTACAAACTATTTTTCTCATTGCAACCTGCAATTCCTTATTCCTTAAGCTGTATATGATAGGATTGAAAAAAGGAGTGACAATGATATACAGCAACGACAGGACTTTGTTGATGCCGGTGAAATGTCCTTTGGTAGGAACCATGTAGACTATAATGAGAGTCCCATAATACGTGCACACTACAATTAAATGGGAACTGCACGTAGAGAAGGCTTTCTGTCTTCCCGCCTTAGAGGGAATCTTCAGTATCGTCAGAAAAATGTTGACGTAGGTCATCATGATGAAGAAAAAGGGAAAGAGAATGATGGGTATTGAACACACAATTATTTCTGTTTCTACCATATAAACATCAGAACATGAAAGTTTAAGGAAAGGGGCCAGGTCACAGAAGAAATGGTCAATTGTGTTAGGACCACAGAACTCTAATGTGCTCACCAGAAGTCCTGGTATCAGTGTTAAGCAGAAACCTAAAAGCCAAGACCAAGCAACCAAATGGAGACGGAGATGGGCGCCCATGATCGAAAGGTAATGCAGAGGGTAACATATGGCCAAGTATCGATCATAGGACATCACCGTAAGCAGGAGCGATTCTGTAGACGTTGAGCAACCAAAAAGGTAGAATTGGAGAAGGCACTCTGCCACAGGCATGGGAACCACCTCTAACAGTAAAATATGTAGCATGTTTGGTATGATATTGGTAGTGCAAAACACATCACAGAGTGAGAGATGGCTCAGGAAGAAATACATAGGTGATCTGAGTTTTTGACTCAATAATACCAGCACCATGATTAGAAAATTCCCTAACAAGATAATAATGTAAATTATAAGAAAGAAGCAGAAGAGTGGAATCTTGAGACTTTGGGCATTCTGAAACCCTAGAAGCTGGAAATACAATACGGAAGATTGATTCTTCTGCATGGCCTGGAATTGTGAAAACAATGTTCATTATTAAAGCACAAATGATATGTACTTGATATCTGTACCTTTTAAATATAGTAATTTGGACTATACCACTTAAAGCAGGCACTGAAGAGTAGATTCCTTTATCAACACCAATTGGAGTTGTTGGCATAATTGCTTTGAAATCATGTACCTCTTGTCTTCATAAAACACTTACAGGGTTATTCATAAAAGGGTGAAGGATTTGGAGAAGACAGAGAAGTGAACAATCTAGGAGAACATAGCTGATTTTGAAAAGTTCTACAATTCAGCTCACTTTCCAGTTCAGCTATGTTGTCCTAGATTGTTCACTTCTCCTGCCTTCTCCAAACTCTTCACCCTTTAACGAATAACCCTTTTTAATTTTCTAAAGAGAAAATGAAAGAATACATAAAGCGTATGTAAACCCTAAAAATGCACCTCTCTTATTTGTTCCCTTTGAGTTAGTTAACTATAGTGTTGAAATAGTTTTGCTATATCTGTTTGATAAATGCAAATACAAATACCTGTTAGAAATTCAGAGTTGCCCTATGAGATGAGGAGAATCTCCAACAATAGGCAGATCGGCAGGGTTGACACCAAGGGCTCTGTTCTTAAAAATATTCACATAAATATCCATTTAGCAAAACTGCACATACATTGGCAGGGTGATTCACAAAAGGAAAACTAGAAAAAGATGGCAACCGCATGAATCTATAACCAGCCTTTATAGCAGGGCGCACATGGGAAGGCTTACAACAATGCAAAACACAAAAAGATCCCCAGCACACCTGCCAGCTAGCCTGCAACAAAACGAATTACCCTGTCAACAGTATGCGTTAAAAACAGAGGTTTTAGTGGCACAAACTTTTGGCCAAAAATCTAGGATAAAATAGCTGATTTGGAAACATTCTCCAATTCAGCTCACTTTCCAGTTCAGCTATGTTGTCCTAGATTGTTCACTTCTCCTGCCTTCTCCAAACTCTTCACCCTTTTGTAAAAAGCCCTATGGGTCTTTGAGAATTACCCAGCTGTTTGTGGGAATGGTGCACAAATAATGGTTCTTAAAGTGTATAATCTCTTTTGTAGCCAAATCGGGATTAAACCTACTTTATATTTCCTACATGTGCCCAATCACAGGAACCAGGTAACCCTTGCAGTGCGGGGTAGCCCCACTGCAAGGGTTAACTTTTTGATTGCCTGGAGTTCTTCTTTAAATATGGGTCTTTCACAATGCTCTTTGTTGACATTTCTATTGTGTGATCTCCTTCTCTGACAGCTATGTAGGGTGGGTAGAAAAAGAAAACATATACATTCAAACCTACTGAAACAATGAAGATATCAGCAGCCATAATGTTATAGGGAGTCTGGTGGACAGCTGCATAAAATGTGTATCAGGATGAAGATTTGGGCATCAAAGAAACAATCCCTGGTAGTGTCATATGACAAGCTTCTCTTCAAATAAAGGGTATTGGAATACAAGAATTGCTTTTTCTTTCTATCAATTCACTTACCAAAAATTGGAACCTGTTTTAATAATGTCCATAGAAAAGAGACATATATTTCCATTTATCAAACATAAGACAGAGACATAATCAATGAACAGAGGTACACCTATACCAAGACTATATCAGTGTTAATACCTGGATTGTATAACATGTTCTTACAATTTGTACTAATAGCTGCTTATATATTGGTGTTTTTCTACAGTCAATCAGGTAGTTCCAGGAAGATTTTCAGTCAGTCCTCTGAGAAATTAAAATGTTTACTAAAATTGTCTTATTACAGGGAATACATCAATTAGGTACAATAACAACTAATTATAAAGACTGCACAGGGAATAGGTGTGCTACATGTGTATCAAAAAAGATCAAATACATCAACTATAAAGTTTAAGGGAATGTGGTGTGACAGCAAACATATGTCTATATTGATCAGAATAAGAAATTACTATGCCAGTTTGCACGCTCATCAAAGGTTGCATGCAGAAAGAAAGATATACATGTACTAAAAGCACCCATGTATAGTAGAGACCCATAGATATTTATCAGGCTAATGTTAGCTGCTTTGTTGTAAAAAAAAAAAAAACTGTTTACAGAGCTCTATAGCTTAAGCTGAAATTAACACACAGAACTGAATAAGTCAATGGAAAGGCTCACACTCTACTCCATGTCTGCTCTGTACAGATCAAGCTATATGGAGTCACATGAGGTATAAACTGCAGCAGTAGTCTCTCCGTCATGGGTGCACTCTGTAATAAATGTTTATTTGTTAAATAAAGAGTTTATGTTAAAAAAAAATAGCAATATATAAAACAGCTTACAAAAATTGTAATCTTAAAAAATAAAATAGCTTTATTGCAAAACCATCATAGCTTGTAATTAAAAAGAGAGGTACATTTGGGGTAATGGTTTAAAGCTGATCTCCGGCCTACCCTCAGACCTGCACAGTTGTACCAGCTGAAAGCTGAATGTAAACAAAGGGGTTGGGAATGCTTGCTGACATCATTACCTAAATATGGCAATGCCCATATTTGGGTAATGACCCGCCCCTTTGTTCACATTCAGCTTTCAACTGCGGAATCTCCTGGCTGGCAGCTGAATGGGGAGAGGAATGCATCATTGGTTGCTAGGACACTGTTGGCTGTGCAAACAACAGCATCCTAGCAACCAATGATGCAGCTGAACATACTTATATGGCCAGTGGGCATTGCTGGATGGGTGATATCGAGAGACTAGTTCTTCATCAGGTACGCCTTCCTTGTGAGTAATTGATGTTGGAAGTGGGCCAATTGTATAGCTCCTAGACAGACTACTAGTGGCTATGGAATTTGCCTTCTGCTGTCCACTGTCAATCACAAGGAAGGCATAACTGATGCGGAACTAGTTTTTCAGTTCCCCATCAGGCTCTACCCACTGTAAAGTTAAGGGGAGGTGGACCTTATGGGTAACTAGTGTCTCGTAAACCAGTCTCTATGACACTTTTTATGAATTGCAGGGAATATGTGGTGGGATTAAGAGGAGAGAAGTCAGAAATTGTCCAACACCCTGCCCCAGCTTGCTATAGATTCAACAAGCAGTAATGTGAGTGTGACCTGAAGAGCAAAGGCACTGGTTGAACAGCAGAAAGCAGAAGGCACTGGTTGAAGAAGCTGAAGATGCAATGGTATCCAGTGGAAGCTAGAATCAAAACATAACTTGGTTAAATGAAGGTCTCTCATATGTGCCTACATTTGTTGTATAGTGACTTGTAAGCATCCCTTTGGTATAAGTAATGACAACATTTTTGTGAATACAGTATAGGTCCATTCAGTAGCATAAATGTGGAAACTGAAACTGTTTGAGTCCATAACAGGTACAAATATGCTAGTCCTAAAGTAATTAAAGCAAAGAACTTCAAAGCATTGCCGCTGTAGAGCCCTTTCATGGATGGTCCAGCCCTGGTCATCGCCATGGGAGTGCTCTGTAACTCATACTGCCTGAATCAGGGATATACTGTATATATGGTGGTGCTGGGTAGAGCAAGGTTGTTGCGCAGTAGAGGACTACAAGAAAAGAACATGGGCAAACAAATGTGAGTGTTTGGGGACTTGAGCTCCCCTTTAGGGTAGCGGGACTACTAGCCCCAACTAGTACGGGCAGGGGAGAGGAGTTAAGGTTTTATACTGAAGTATGGAGTTTAAGGATAGAGCAAGCAGCTGTGTGAGTACTAGCTGAAGTGGGGAGAGCATGTGACCCCTGTGCCAGTGGATAAATGTGAAGCAAGGGTTAACCTAGAAAGCCTTAGACTCCCAGTTTTGGGAAGTAGCTGTGGGGCCCAAAGCAATATGGATAATTTCTCCCCAGGACTTGATCAACAGGAGTCAGGCATTGTACAGAAGAGGTGTAAATCCCATCGTCTGAGCCAAAACTCCAAAAGGCAGCCAGCAGGGAGGTACTGTCCACCTCCTCCCAAGCACCCCTACATGTGAGGGGAGGGGGTGGACAATAAGTCCTTGTTGGCTGGCTTTCGCTCAGACAATAGGCTGGTCTGATGACCTTCTTTGGACATCTCCTTAATTACAGTATATCAGCATTTCTTCTGTATACATCAGATTCATCAAGAACCATTAGATACGTGTAAAGCCTCCATATACACAAAATCTGTGATGCATCCATTTATAGGGACCTTGGTGGTGAATTAAAGATTGGACAGGTCAAAAAATAGACAAAGACTATCACAGAGGGACCTTGCTTACCATCCCTAGAAACCTAAATCTGAATTGTATAAAAGATATAAGAGGAAGCTGAAACAATGTTCTGTTGTCCATAATGTTCTGTGGCATATTGTCTGAGAATAGTCTTGTTTTAAGTGAGCACATCAGTGTCATAGGAGTGTTCAATGTCTTTTTTATTATTATTGCTCTTGAAGAGGAAAAATGGAAGAAGAGATTTACAATTAAATTGTCACCAACATAAGAGTGCTTGGGCATACTACACGGTACTGTAGTTCATAAATCTGACTATGTATGATGTTTACTTAAGTACACAGCATGAATATAAAGGGGGTCTGTCCTGAGGAATTGCTGCCCTTATCTGAAAAAATGGTAGTTGCTTGGCTATCTCTGACTATAATGTATTCTGAGTCAATGACATGGAACAAGCACCCAGCCAGGGAAGCCAGAGTAATGTAAGAACTCAATATACATATTGTACTTATTCTGGGACAGTGGATCAGACAGCAGGATGTCCAAGTCCAGCATTGTCCATTTGTGACAAAGGTCCGAAACACCTCCAGGTAGAGGGACCATACTCAGGGACCCAGATATTGACGACTGCCAATTTTTCTCTCCTGGGATGTGCATGACGGACAAGAAAACATTAATATTCTCCCAAGCCAGGATCAGGTCGGCTTCTTTTTGAGCTGCATGGCTTCTTTTGGCTCTCTAATGGTCTATAAAAGCCGTGGCCATGGTGTTGTCAAACTGAATCCTGGTTGGCTGGCCCTTTAACTGAGGGATT